TTCTCTCTCTCTCTCTCTCTCTCTCTCTCTCTCTCTCTCTCTCTCTCTCTTTTACCGTTTTTCGTAAAATAATATCTTCACTGAAATCATACAGATTTTTAAGTATCATTGATAGATGTTTCTATGAATGAAATTGCTCATTACATGATTAGCGGCCATATGATTAATTAGCTAATTATAGCGGGATTAAATTTGAATTTCATTCATTTATGCATAGACAATACGAGTTTCGCTTTGAGAAGTTCTTTGCGTAAGCAATGATAAAAAAAATAAGCAACATTGTTATTTATTTAATAATATTATAATTTGTAATTTAATCTTTTATCTGTACCGCACGTGCGTACGCAACACATGTTTTATTTTTATTATAATCGATATATGATCTGTTTCTTTGATTCTCACATCTGTAATATTCTATTGTTTACTATTTGAATATTTTTTTAACATATGTATTTAGTAGGAGAAAGTAGGGTAATTGTGCGTATTTGGTTTAGCACTTTTCCGATAAACGAAGTCACGTCGAAATTTTTAAGCTGTCAAAATTACTATTAAAATATGTAATTTCACTTTTTTTCCACTCAGAGGTAATTCGAACTATCTCTGAGTAAAAAAAGTGAAATTTTTTATTTTGATAGGAACTTTGGCATCCAGAAAATAAGACGGTAAGACCGTATTCTTATTTTGTTTATTTAATCGTGCATATCTTACTAAAGTACATCATTATGTGCGTCTTTTGAGCTATTATTATTTATTGAATTAAATTCATAAGATTATCCATGGTTTTAAGATTCATTTTGTGATTTGTGAGAATACTTTGTAACATCCTATCTGCCAATTCGATGTGATGTGTCTCACAAAATATCGTCTTTTTATTATATTTAGTTTTGGAATTGTACTGAGGATGACTCAATATGAGTCGAAACGTATCCTAATTATGATTGAATAAATGTTATTTATGAATTCTAATTTATTCAAAAGACAAAATTGATTAAAATTACGTATCAGTAACAACGCAGCACTCTCATTCGCCCTTGAGGACTGTAATTTTTTAAATTCATAAGTCTTTGAGTAATCGTTTTTTTATCAAATCAATTTGCGATAGAAAATTGTGCAATAAAAAGTGCACTATTTCCGAAGAAATCGGAAGATATGATTATTCGCGCATTTTGAATATATTTCTGAGATGTTAGATAAATCAAATATTAAGCGTTTTCCATTTATATATATATATACATATTTACAAAAGAAGTTTGCCATTTGTATGACTCAATCATATGTCATTTGCGACAGTATTAGAATAAAACTGACTTTACTAATAATCGTT